TTAATTTTAATTCTGATACATTATCTTATATAGTTTTTGTATTATTTTCTTACCTGTGCTTCCTTACCTGCCCCCTGGCCCATCCCAAGGGCACCTGCCCTGGTCTCTGCAGATCCTCTTCAACTCCCAGAAATCCCAGCCAGCTTACAGCTTAGGAATTATGGAAGCTGAAGTTCAAAACACCCAGAGGACCAAAGGTTGGGAACCACTGTTCTAGTGTGATAAGGAGCCACACAGGCGGCAGCAGGCCAGAGAAGTAGGCCTTCCCCACCGTGTCTCGGGCCACCACACTTCCGGGGTCTCTGGCCTCCACTGGATGTAAATATTTAATATTTAATATTTTATTAATATTTTCAAAATCCCATGAAACAGCGAGTCTGCTAAAAGTGAACCACAAAGTAGATCAATAGGTACCTTTTGCAGGAAGGTAATGGCGCTCCATGCAGTCATGCTGGCCACATGACCTTGGAAGCGTCTACAGACAATGCCAGCTCTTCAGCTTAGAAATGGAGATGAGCACCACTCCCCAGAGTCAGACATGACTGGACTTAATGTCAGGGGAAACCTTTACATAGAGTAGGCTTGGGACAGAAGGTAGAAAGGACAACTCTCTCCTCCCCACCTGCTGACAACAGATTACTAAGACTTACAGAAAAGATGAATGGGGTCTAACTGCCACATACGGATGGATCTAGATAGGAAAGCAGAGAAAGGAAGAAAGAGAAACTAAAATAGGAAAGGTGGGAGAAAAATGAAAGGCTGGTCTGGGTGAAAACTGAAACAGATTCAGAAAAGACTGAAAACGTGCTGTTGTACCAATTCTGCCCCTGTCTAATTTTGCCTTCCTCCATGTCAACTCCAAAAGCATACGGTACTTTTGAGAGTTCAAACTAAGATATAAAACTTTCAGGAGATTTTCCCCATGGTAATTCTTCTTTTGACATAAATATACTCCTCATTACTATCTATGACAACTCTGTAAAAACATATGAAAGAAAAACAAAGAAAATTTCATCCATATATATGCAATATTTTATTCTGCTAGCAGCTCCATTCAGACAACAATTCAAACTATGGTTAGGGAAATCTAACATAATTTGGCTGAGGAACCATGGCTTGGGATTTGAAAACCCAACAGTAACTCATCTGAAGTGGTTTTGTAAGCCATCTTTAGTGCAAACTCTAGTTTAGAATGATGTGAAGTGAAGGAATTAAATGAAGCACAGCCAAACAGCAAAGCAGTTGAATCAGAGAAGTTACTAATGTCCAACACTGTGGTCTGAATAGACGCACCACTATTGGAACCACTACTCTACCTCAACAAGCTGCCAGACCAGGAAAATGGAAGTGATTTTATAATTTGAGAAGAAAATGATGGCATATAAATGGTTTTAATCTATAATTACTCTACATGGAAATTACTTTTTTTGGACTGTAGCACCTAAAATCCTTTAGATGCTATAGTCATTGTTATTTTGGCAGGACAACTGGGGGAGTTGTAGCCCCACGGTATAATTTCTCTAAGGTATGTCAATATTCAAATTAAGTTATATTCTTAATTTGTGTTTGGTGTAATGTTTGAACAGAGCCTCTGCCACAGACCAGTGACTGCCTGTGTTTGTCTGTGGCTCTTTTCTTTTAAGGAATCTGGTGTTTTGATTTGTTTTAAATGGCACCATCTTAAATGGAGGGGAAAAAATCCTGCATCTTCAGAAACACAGCTAAAAATAAACTTGAAAAAAATCACAACTCGCCAAGGGACCCCTCTCCTTTTATGAGTCACTCCTGAGCAACCAGCAAAAGTGGCTCTAAGCAGTTTCTATTTTATGTCAGTGCACTTCCGTTTCCATCCATTTGCAAACCTCAAGGATACATGACACATTCAACTCAATGATATACCCACACATACAACATACACACGCAATCAGGATGCAATCACACTTACATATTTGGATACATGTAGTTTGGTGAAATTCTGCACTGCATCAAATTTGTCACTGCTTAATTATTCATTCATGTCTATGTAGATTAAATTGTGGTTATTTTCCATTTTTAGAAGGCAAGCAGCAGTTATTCCATAGTACCAGGCAGGGTGGAGAATGGTGCCCTTGGAAACCACACTTACTCAAGCGCTATATACAAAAACAGAAAAATTACTAGTTTGGGCTTTTTCGCCATGCTTCCTTATAGACCAGTAAAAATAAATTGCCTTCTCTTCAGTGGACTGGCAAAGATGGCTGTCTCTAGTTCACCAGTCTCTTGTGCTTTCCTACTGGCTGTGGAGGAAAATGCTCCACAGCCAGGATCAAAATCAAATGGACTGGATGAGAGAGAATGAATAAAACAGTCTATCTTTCCTGCTAGCCTTCTTTATTCACATGCGTGGAATTCCTTGTTTGCTCTTCCAACCAGGAAACTGGAAGGAAACAAAGGCTACCCTGCTCATCCCACTTCACTGGAGAAATGTAGTAGTTACATTCTCAAAGCAGCCATCCTGCCTCTTTGAAACAAGAGTGTTTGTGACGAAACCAGCTAATATCACCCATCCAAACTATTTCGCCCCAGAACACGCAGCACCATATCTGGAAAACCAATGCTATAGGTTGTAATATAGGTTGTAAAACTGGATGTAAATCCAGAATCCAGATCTCTTTATAACACCTTTTTCAAAGTGCTCTCCAGATGTGCTGGAGTACAATTTCCATACCATAGCCAGCTATGCTCTAACACAGTGGTTCTCAATCTGTGGGTCCCCAGATATTTTGGCCTTCAACTCCCAGAAATCCTAACAGCTGGCAAACTGGCTGGGATTTCTGGGAATTGAAGGGCCAAACACCTGGAGACTCACAGGTTGAGAGCAACTGCTCTAACACATCTGAAAGTTAGAATAAGCTCTTTTATAACCACAACTAACTGTTTAAACAGGTGTTATTAACAAGACTGTTTACTTGCTCTAATTCTGTTAGAGTACACAAATAACATACATGTGGATAGACAAATAGCATACATACTCGAGTATAAGCCGACCTGAATATAAGCCGAGGCACCTAATTTTACCACAAACAAAACTGGGAAAACTTATTGACTCGAGTATAAGCCGAGGGTGGGAAATGCAGCAGCTACTGGTAAATTTCAAAATAAAAATAGATACCAATAAAATTACATTAATTGAGGCACTGTAGGTTAAATGTTTTTGAATATTTATATAAAACTGTAATTTAAGACAAGACTGCCCAACTCTGATTAAATCATTATTCTAAGGTTCTTCAATGTAAATGTACTTACGTATCCTTTCAATAATCATCATAGTTTATTTTAACTATATGTTTTGGGGAAAATGCTGTGTGTATATGAATAGTGGGAAAGACTGGTGCCGAGAGAGGAGGAGAGGAAGGTATATGCTGTGCTGAGAGAGGAGAGGAAAGTGCATACTGTGCAAGAAAGTAGGAGAGGAAGGTGTACGCTGCACAAGAGAGGAAGAAAGCTGGGTTGCCGTGTGGAAAGGGTCCTGGCAGGAAGGTATGGGGCTAAAAGAAGCCCTTCTTGCAACCCCACACCTTTCCACTTGGACCCTCACCTGAGTATAAGTCGAGGTGGAGCTTTTTCAGCCTAAAAAGGGCTGAAAATTAGGCTTATACTCAAGTATATACAGTAAGTGTAACTAATAGCACAAAGTTCAGTTATAATAATAATAAATAATAATAAACTTTATTTATAACCCGCCACCATCTCCCCAGAGGGGACTCGGGGGGGGGGGGGGGGGGGGGGGGAGGGGGCTAACATGAGGCCAAGCCCAAAATAATACAACATAGTTAAAACACAAAATCACAAAAAATACATCATAACACAAATATGAAATAACAAATGAAATCAACAATATGAAATATTCCCTGATAGCTTCTAGGGTATGTGTTTTTCATTTGTCTGGATTTATTAAAACAAGGTTACAGTAATTTCCCCATTATCACTGTTCTGTTAGCATCTCCACCAAGTCTAACCATACTAACACAAGCAACATTACATCTAATGAAGTTGCAACATCTTGCGCAAGCAGCATGAAAGCATCATATTTAATGCATGTTCAATTAAAAGCTCTACACTAGTGGAATAACATCACTGGATAAAATTGGCAGTTCCTCACTTTTAACACTAACACTACTATTCCTCACCAAATCCCTAAAAAACATTATTTATAGTCTTTTCTCAGCAATTATATGGCAAGGTGGGCAGACCAGAAACAATAAATAAATAATAATAAGCTGGGAAGACAATCAGAGAAGTTTTTTTGATCAGCTACCTTTTCCCCTAATGGTAAGAACTAAGACTAATCTTCAGATCTTTGATATTTCATTTTTCTGTGAAGACAATAACAGTAAACAAACAAAAGAAGCAACGTTTGTTCCAAATATGCTTGGTGACATTTGAATACTCTCACAGATGATAACTAAATGGTTCAGGCAAGGTTTGGTTGCAATCTGAATCAATTGAGATGGGCAAGAGTGCCATTTGGCCAGGGCCTCAAGCTCACAGGGGCTTACGTTTACATATTCGTTATTTTCTCTGGCATTAGATTTGTTTTTATGCACACTTTACATGAGACAGTTACTTTAAAAATATGTTACAAATATAGGCTTCACAAGCTTGTTGGCACATGCTGTTCTGCTTTCTGAGAGAAACTGATTATATTTATGCTTCACTCTTCCTCCAAGAACTTTGGGCAGAATACATGATAGACATATTTCATTTTTATTCTCAGTAATCCCATGAGTAAGGGGTTGAGCAAACAGAGTAAAAGGCACAAAGTCACTCATTTAGCAACATGTATGTGCAGAGACTTTAACTCAGATCTCGCTGTAAATCTAAAATCTCAAAGGCATAACTTTGATATTCATGTGGGGTAGAAAAGAAAAAATGATAAACAAGTTCAGTACACTGAGAGCAGAGATAATAGGAAAGGTCCAGCAGGTCCTGGAAAATCCAAGATGTTTCACCGATCTTACCTCAGTATGGATATTAGGCACTGAGCCTGTAAGCCCATTTTCTGTGATAGCGCTGTTGGAGCTGTTTGGGGAGCTGGGGCCAGACCCTGGGGCACTGTTGCACATTGAAGACACTGCAAAAGAGAGAGAGAGAAGTTACCCCCAGGGTAGTCCTTATACTCAAAAAATACAGACTTCAACTCCTCATGAAAGAGGATTCATTTATGGAATGCTACAATAGGAAAGAACAGAGACAAACTAGGAATTTGTCCTTCCTTTCACTGTTCCTTTAAAACTTTGATCAATGCCACCTATGTCATCCATATCTTATATTCTTCCGTGGGAAGTGGAGGGCTATAGCTTATGTCAGGTCAGGAATAGACAGATGGTAGATTGTGATCTTCTCATGGTTAATTTTTAGTAAATCACCATGGGTTCCCAACTCCCAATGGTTTAAAAACAGAAACAAGAAAAATGCTATTTCTTCCAAAACAAGGTCGCAAACCTGGGAGGGGAAAAACAGAACTAGATTTTGTGTATGGAATGTGGATTTCATGGCCGAAATCACTGGGTTGCTGTGAGTTTTTTGGACTGTTTGGCCATGTTCCAAAAGCATTATCTCCTGACATTTCACCCACCTCTATGGCAGGCATCCTCATAGGTTGAGGGATCTATTGGAAATTGGCAAGTGAGGTTTATATAACTGTGGAATTCCCCCAGAATTTCCCCAGGCAGCAACCAGCAAAGCATTGAAACTGCAAGGCCATTAAATGCTAATCAAGTTGGCCATTTGCAACATTCACACCTGCCTCAAACAGGCAAAAGTTCTTTCTCCCACCTTGGACATTCCACAGGTATATAATCCCCACTAGCCTAGTTTCCAACAGATCCCTCAACCTCTGAGGATGCCTGCCATAGATGTGAGCGAAAGGACAGGAGAGAATGCTTCTGGAACATGGCGCACAGCCTGAAAAACTCACAACAACCCTGTGTATGGAATGTTTTGTACAAAAAAAATCCAGGTATGGTACTGAAGAAAAAAATCCCACTGATAATTTGTGTTAAGGAACCAAAACTAATAACCCAAAAGCAGGAAAAGAAGAGATAGGAGAAATCCTTGAACAATATGTCCCCTCTCATTTTCCTGATAGCAGGGGATCATGTCAAATCAACATTTCTACCAAGGTACCCCTGCACGCTATTGCAAAGGATTCTGAATCCTTCTGGAATTTTGAAAGCACTCTGTTTATATTGCGTGCAATCAGCACAAAAGCACAGTGTTTACTTGTGGAGGCACAAGGTAGGCAAGGTATTTTCCAGTATGATCACTTCTCATTTTTCTTGATTTAATATTTAAAAATTACAATCCATTTCACACTGCCAGATTCTGCGCCATGTACAAAAGGGGTGCATCAATCAAATGTTGTTGTGACTCCAAATGTTATTGGACTAGAGTTTCCATCAGCCTCAGGCAGGTTGGGGAGGCAGAGTATTTCTTACTCCACCTTTCTTCCAATCAGCTCAAGGTAACGCTCTTGGGGGCTAGGTGGGCCAAGAGAAAGTAACTGACCCAAGAAAGTAACTGACCCAAGATCACCTAGTGAGTTGCTATGAGTGTTCCAGACTGTATGGCCATGTTCCAGAAGCATTCTCTCCTGACGTTTCACCCATATCTATGGCAGGCATCCTCAGAGGTTGTGAGGTTTCATAAACCTCACCATCTCTGAGGATGCCTGCCATAGATGTGGGTGAAACGTCAGGTGAGAATGCTTCTGGAACATGGTCATACAGCCCAAAACTCACAGCAACCCAGTGATTTCAGCCATGGAAGCCTTCAACAACACACCGCCTAGTGCAGTGGTTCTCAACCTGGGGTCCCCAGATGTTTTTGGCCGACAGCTCCCAGAACTCCCAGCCAGTTTACCAGCTGTTAGGGTTTCTGGGAGTTGAAAGCCAACAAGATCTGGGGACCCCAGGTTGAGAACCACTGACCTAGTGATTTTCACAGGCCATTGGAAACCAGAACTTGTTAACGCCAACTACTATACTGACTTTTCCCAAGAATCTCTGATGAGCTTTCCAAGAGCTGCAGACTTCACCTTCACCAGCAATTTCAGAGGCAGACTATTATATTCAAATTACAAAATTTACATGTTACTCTTTTAAAAAATCTGGAGGACAGAGAAGGGTAAGAATTGGAGAACATGGCTGTAGGTTTGTTTGTGTGTTTTTGACAAATCTCTCAAATTTGTTCAGGAGCTTTACTTTAAGTCCAAACTTTGAGCAGCAAATATATTTAAAACTTGTTTTTTTCTTCTCTGCTTCTGTGTTTACATCATCTACAAATAATTATTTTAAATGGAGTACATATAAAATTGTAGTCCCCAAGAAGGAGCCTCAAACCACTGAAAGCTCATGTGCTTATGTAACAGCAGATTGCCAGCCTGCTGCTATTCCCTTTTGCCAACTAAAATAAAAAAACCCCTTCAGAAGCAGCAGATGTTTCTGGATTATATATCCGGTCATCTCTGCCCCAACACATTCCAAATAAAATGGCCATCATACAGATTACAACTGTCTAGATTAATTTCTTAATTTATCAGTAGCACATTTGAAGGGACTGGAGGGCAAAACACTGGGCTGCATGCTTTATTTAGACATTTATTTGCTGATTTAATCTGCTCTTTACTCCCTCCCCTCAGATTACCATGAGTTTTAGGAATCTATAAATGGATGTTGCATGTTTTGATGGTTACATACCAACAACACAAAAATTTCCCTCAAAATATGATTCAGACTTTCTTTTACATTTATAATTATTAGACTTTAAAGGAATCATTTCCTAAGAATTGTCATTATTCAGAACAAGCCAAGATTAAACCTAGACAATAGCTTCTTAAATTCAGAAATCACAGAGAGTTCTGGATAGTATATAAGTAAAATGGGCTCTTTCTCAGAATGCAGAAAGGTGTGTATGTGTGTGAAGCAGAGCAGGGGGGACTCTCTACAGTACTTTCTCATAAGTGATGATGTTTCCTGCCATCTGCTAACTGAAACACAATTTCAAGGAGTTTTTCATATTTCTTCTTTGACTCCAATCTTCTCACTTTTAGTCCCACCGTAATACATAGCTCCCACATAAACCACTCCCCAAATCCCCTTTGTACACAGCTCCCATAGGTACCACTTGTTGGGATTTATACCCCAGGTTTCTCCACCATCACCATGATGTTTCATTTCACACTGACAGCTCAAGAAGTATAACACTAGACAAAGTATTCTTTTATTTATTTATTTACCCTATCTATGCCCTGCCTTTCTCAACCCCATAGGAGACTCAAAGCAGCTTCCATATATAGGCAACGATTCGAGGCCATGTAAATATGTTTATATAATAAAATAAACATATATATTAAAACAATCATTAAAACATATCAAACCTTATTAAAATCACATTATCCAAAATTGTAATCCATGGCAGTTCCAAACTGACATTGCACAATGGCTTCAAACTAAAAGAAAGGAGATTCCATCTGAACATTAGGAAGAACTTCCTGACTGTGAGAGCTGTTCAGCAGTGGAACTCTCTGCCCTGGAGTGTGGTGGAGGCTCCTTCTTTGGAGGCTTTTAAACAGAGGCTGGATGGTCATCTGTCGGGAGTGTTTTGAATGCTTCTTGGCAGGGGGTTGGACTGGATGGCCCATGAGGCCTCTTCCAACTTTATGATTCTGTGATTCTATTCCATAATTCTCTAGTGGGTTACGAATTGAACGCTTGGTCCCACATCCATGTCTTTTAGGACAAGGGACAAGCTATGTTTCCTACATGCACAAAAGGACACTTTAAGCCTTTGTAAGAGGGACGAATGCTAAAGGGGAATACTACCAGACATAGACAGGTCTGCAATAATCCATCTTCTATGGAAATGTTGTTTCTTATATGTTTTCAAGGTAACTAACATATTACAACCTTTTCACAGGGTTCTTTTATCAAGAACTTTTCAGAAAAGGTTTCTCATTGCCTTTCTTTAAGGCTAAGAGAGTGAGACTTGCCTAAAGTAACTCATCAAGTTTCCACTGCTGAGAAGGAATTCAAATCCTGGTCACCCAAATCCTAGTCCAGCACTCCAACCACTATGCTTCTGAGGATCAAACTGGCACTAGCTCAACAAATTACTCAGATTTCCCATTTTCTGAGATAATGAAAATACAAGGATGGTTTGAACTTTGAGGACAATGGGAGCATTTAATACATTCTCTGTTCAACAATCCCCATAGGCAAATACTTCCTACCAATTTCCCCCAAGTTGGACTCATCATTTTTCTCACCTGTGATTTCGATTGCTCGTTTTTTGAAGGTGCTGATGACGGTCCCATCTTTCCTCCGCAGCAGTGGGCTGCTCCTTCGCTCGGCAACCTTCTGTTTTAACCGTGAGCGCACTTTTAGGTTGGGTTCCGAGGCTGGAAGAGAAGAGAAACAAGGAGAGTGAGAGAATAGTAAGACTGCTGGCACAGTGGTTTAGATAAAGCAGTGAGATGTCTGAGGAAAGAACTGTGTTTCCACTTGCAGAGATTAATTATCTTCCCACTTGAAGAAGAGTAAGTGAAAACAGGAATCTTAATAATACTGCATAGATTTAAAAAAGGCCCACTGGTGGCACAGCGGGTTAAACCAAAAGGTTGGCAGTTTGAATCCGGGGAAGGGGGTGAGACCCCGTTATTAGGCCTAGTTTCTACCGACCTAGCAATTAGAAAACACGCAAATGTGAGCAGATCAATAGGTACCGCTTCTGCGGGAAGGTAATGGTGCTTCATGCAGTCATGCTGGCCACATGACCTTGGAGGTGTCTGTGAACAATACCGGCTCTTTGGCTTAGAAATAGAGATGAGCACCATACCCCAGTGTCGGACACGACTGGACTTAATGTCAAGGGAAACTTTACCTCTTTTATAGATTACTAGCTGTCTCCTGCCACATGTTGCTGTGGCTCAGTCTGTGTATATGTGTTTTGTGTGTTTATATGTGTGTGTGTGTATATTTGTGTGTATATGTATATATGTGTGTGTGTATATGTGGTTTTGCGCATGCATTGTAATGTATTTTTGTGGGGGATTTTTGTTTTCTAAGTCTCTTCTGCTGTGTTTTTCAGTGTTTTTATGAGTGATGGTCACTCTTTGGCCTGATAGGTGTATTGTGTCCAAATTTGGTGTCAATTCGCCCAGTGGTTTTTGAGTTATGTTAATCCCACAAATGAACATTATATTTTTATTTATATAGATTCATCAGTGGCAAGTTTAATGTGAATCCACAAATGCAGATAGGTAATACTAACTCAAATGGACTCCACCATGCATAGCAAATTATGTGATTGGAGATGCTTCCCAAATACATCTAAAATGTGTGAGAACATGACAGGCTCTGCACATAGGAAATCTATGCCATGTCAGAGGACCCTAATGGAACTACTCATTTAACACATATACCTGTCCAGCTTTGCTGGGCAAAGGTTGAAAATATAACTTTTTTGACACTTTAATTTGTGTCCATTGGTAACAACTATTCCTGTCTTTCCTGAAAACTCATCACAGACCAGTAGCCTATGTCTCACAGATGAGCACTGGCCCACTAACCACCATTTTGAGAAGAGCTGCTTTAGCCCAAGAATGGGGAACTTACAGCTCTCCAAATGTTGATGGCTCCAATTCTCATAAACCCAGTCAACACTATTAATGGTCAGGCGAGAGGAGAATTATAGTCCCACATCACTTCATGGCAGACCTACGGCTCAGTAACAGCCCTCACACTATACATGTTATTGTTGTTGTTTATTCAGTCAGTCACTTCCAACTCTTCGTGACTTCATGGACCAGCCCACACCCAGTTCCTTCAAGGTCAAGCTAGTCACTTCAAAGATACCATTGTCTTGCTGTTGGTCGGCCCTTCTTCCTTTTTCCTTCCATTTTCCCCATCATCATTATCCTTTCCAAGCTTTCCTGTCTTCTCATTATGTGGCCAAACTACTTCATCTTTGCCTCTAATATCCTTCCCTCCAGTGAGCAGTCAGGCATTATTTATACTTGTAGAAAGTCCTAATTCAATACTTGGCATCTCCATTTTAAAAAGACCAACAGGTGATGACAAAGCTTCCTCTCATCTGCCCCCAGGGACCAGCTGCCAGTTGAATTAGACAACACTAGGTTAGATGGAGAAATAGTAACTAAGGAGGTTTGCTTTCACATAGCAGCTGGGTTGTTGCTTTTCTTGCAGTTTGTCTACGGAGAAGATCTTGCAAAGACCAGTTGAGTTGTTATATAATTAGCACACAAACAGTTGCTTTCTTGCAAGAGAGCTCTGGTAGCATCTAAAAATAGGTTGTTTGTAAAGCCTGTCAGCACAGTAGGTCTTGCAAGTCCTAACTGAAGTAGCTCTAGGAAAAAATGACCTCAAATGTAAGTTTAGCATTTTTATTACAATTAATTTCTATCAGAATTTCTTTTTGCAACAGAGATATTGGTTAAGCAAGGGCCACTTTATTTGCCTTAGAACCTGTTAATTGAAGCTCCTTCTATACTGCCATATAAAATCCAGATTATCTGCTTTGAATTGGGTTATATGACATATGCTTTCATTATCCAGATTATATGGTAGTGTAGAAGGGGCCCAAGTTATGTACAGGGGTGAGAAAGAGTGGGGAGAAACCTGCTGTAGGTCTACTTAAGGCCAGGTATCAATCTGTGACCATCTGCTCAGCCTCCCTTGAAACACCTGACCTCAAGGGCATTCCAATGCTATGGGTTGCTCATCTTGACTGGTTGTTTATTGGAAGGCAAACATAGAGTACAGCCTCCCAAATTAAAGAACTTTATAAGAGAGAACAAACTCTCCAGGTTGCTCTTTCACAATCCCCTGGTTCACAGGACCTATAGACTTAAAGTTACAGAGGCCTACTCTTCACCAAAAGGCTAGCAAAGTGTACACCAAACTCTTATATTCTCCCCCCACCCAACACCTATCAGAGACAACCTATTTACAGACACCTCCTTTAGCCAATCAGTCCCCCAGATAGGATGGGAAGAGGAAGAGAACTGTAAATGGGAAGCAATTCCTGTCCAGCTCCAAAGTGACCAGCAGAGTTCACACTGAACTGAAGGTGGAAGGATGGGTTGCAAACTGAAGCTGACTAACCTTAAATAGCCCACGGCTTCACACCAACACATATTGTTTCTTTGAGCTTAGGGTCAAGGCCCCCGACCTGTAATGCAGTTCATTGCTTTGTCCTGGGTTCAAAATCTTAGTTGTCCATATTATATAATCTAAGGTTAATTGAGTATCTCTTTGTCATATTAATGGCTCTTCAATACAGCTCTCTCTGTCTAATGTACATACATGCACACACAGAGAGAAGTGGGTTTTTCAAATCAACATACACACCTAAAAAGCCAGACGGCTCCTTCCTATAAAGGGTTGATTTTTTTATAACGATCCATCAATTTCTCCCTGTTTTTATTGTTTTCCCCAGCAGTGGTGTGTATTTGCTCACCTGTTTTCCGGAGTGGAAAATCATCTCTGCTATCATAAGTGCCGAGTAAAGGTAGTTTGCAAGAGGGTGGTGTTCCCGGGCTTCCTGTCTGGGGAGGGGAACTCTGGTCCAATGAGGTATGGTGAGCCCCCCTGAAGAAGAGCAGAAGAAAAAGGCCACATTATCAAGATGGAGACCAGGGTTCAGAATGATGTAGGCACAATGTTTTTTGTTAACCCATGTCCCCTGCAACACCCCGTTTAAAAATGGGGGGGGGGGAATAAAAAGACTTCAAGTGGAGCTGATGTTCCATTTAATCATTGTTTTGCCCATGCCAGTCAAGTACAAAGCATTAATAAATAGTGGGAGCTACTGTTTGTTCAGTGAAAATAGTGGGCTGTGGTCCATGAAGAAGTGCAGAAGAGAAAATGGCCCTTAGCCCCTCCATGCATGTTCCCCTTTGATTACATCTATGTGAGCACATACACATAGAACAGTGGTTCTTAACCTGTGGGTCCCCAGTTGTTTTGGTCTACAACTCCCAGAAATCTCAGCCAATTTACTAGCTGTTAGGATTTCTGGGAGTTGAAGGCCAAAACATCTGGGGACCCATAGGCTGAAAACCACTGGAATAGAATGTTTCTAAAATACTGCCAGGCTCCTGTTCCAACCCTCATTCAAGTTGTAGTTTACCACATTTTACTTTTTTTTTAAAGTGCAATATAGTTAACAGATAAATAGAAATTATTGGTGGTAAAAAAAAACTTAACTAGAAGGCCACACATTTATACCCTAACTCTGCAAATAATGTCTTAATCTATCCCTAACACAAATCATAAAATCCTGTTTGCTTTCTCTGATAAAAGACAGCTCCCCTAAATATACATACACAGTATATTTTCTATGATATTAGCACTTCCTACCATTGGAGACTCTGGGTAAAATCTGGAGCTAGCCATACTTAGGCTAGACATGTTGGCAGTGCTTAAATACCACAAAAAATTCCAGATCTGGGGTATACACTATCTAATCCATTCCACTTGCAGCATGAGAGCAGAGACTACATTCTTGGTCTGCTTTAGTGCAAAGTGCAAACCCAGCAGGACCCAGCTTTCTGGCTTACCACTGCCTGACGAGACAGAGAAATAATCCAGGGTTTGTTTTAGAATTAATTCTCTGGCATGTTGGGAGGGAAACAAGCCAGAAATCTGGCTCCCTGCTGTTTTCACATGTCACAAAAATGAACTACAGACTGAAAGTTCATAGTTATTTAACTGCTTCCATTGCAAGTGGAGAACATTCATCAGCATGCTGTTTGTACTTCATACTTGCCTTCACTGCGGGAGAAGATGCAGATCAAGAATAGGGCTCCATAGTCACCTACGGACCCACCACCAGTACACTGATCCTGGAAGACTATCCTACTTGGACAACGAGGGATCACCTAACTAACTATGTACTTCATAAGCCAGGATTCCCCTGTAACCCTGGTTTATTATGATATTGACCTGGGCAACTGAAATCAATGAGCTACATTTGAATCCAACTTTCTCAAAAGACTGAAATCTAACAGACTGCTTGTACTTTATAACTGTGGTTTCTCTGGATCATCACTATAATGACTGTGATTTATGGGAGTGATTAAAAGACAACCACGTGTAGATCCAACCCTGCCAAATATAAGCCTAAATTTGAGTAAAATACCTTTTCTAGACTCTATTTCCCCAGTTACCATGGCCATCCGTCCCTAACCAATGCTGCTTGTAACCCCTGTTTGGCCTCTGACTTCTTCCACCTGTAGTCTCTTCCTTCTTGATTACCCACTGAATTTCCTGGGCCTTGGTGCTTATAGCTGTAATCCGTTTATCCAGCTTAGAACAGATCCCAGATGGACCATTATCCCTACCCCCACCTTCCTCACTTCCCTCTGTTTCACAAAGGATATTCTTATCTGGCCCTCGTCACCTTCTGGGTCATGTCCTCCAATCCCGTTAACCCACATTCAACAATAGAATCCTGCACGTTCACGTTTACTGAGCCTGAAAGACAAAGAAACTCCCCCTTTCAAACATATTTTGGGCCCCTCTCCTTCTAGAGTTTTACTATTACACATTGTTCTGCTGCATCACAACAAATTACAAAAGTCTAGTTAACTAAACAACCGTTGGGGCCTCAAGGTGATTTATATGGGTCTTCTCATCCCCACTTCATCTTCAGTCCAACCCTGTGAAATAGGTCAGGCCAAGGAAGAGTTACTGGACCAAGATAACCCAGCACGTTTAATGTCTTCATCTGGACAATAACCTGAATCTTCCAAATCCCAGACCAATATATTAATCCATATACTAAACAGGGCGTGCTTAGAAACAGAAAGCTCCTAGCACTACAAAAGAAAAGTCACAATGACAATCCTCTACTTTTTGCTCATTAATAGGTTGTTTTGCTAACAAACAAATGGTGGAAGACATCATAAAATAAATACAAACAATAATAAACTTTATTTGTATCCCGCCTCCATCTGCCAGAAAAGGGACTTGAGGTGGCTAACAAGGCCACTGCAAGTGCAGTATAAACATCAACAGTACATGAATATAAAACAATATCACATAAAAGTTATAAACAACCACTACCAACACATAAAACAAAATGCACAATTTGAAAACACTTTCCATCAATGGTTAAAACTAGCTGCCATCAATACACAACTAAAGTGCCAAAGTGTCAACCTAATATAGGCCCATTTCAGCCTACTCAAGGCCAAAGGCCTGTTTTCAAATCCATGTTTTTAGGCTAGAATGGAAGGTTTCAAGGGTAGGGGATAATCTAATATCTTTTGGGAGAGTATTCCAGAGCCAGGGAGCCACTACAGGGAAGGCCATCTCTCTCGTTCCTACCAACCATACTCGGGACTGGAAGAAGGGCCACCCCTGCCGATCTCAAAGCCTATGCTGGTTCATAGAAGGAGATGCGGTCAAGATGATGTCATCTTGACAGCTGTAGAATCCCATGTTTGAGACAGAGAGACTGTAGGATAAAAGCCTTTATGTCTAAACTACAACTGGACAGTGTAACACTTTGAACCACAGCGGATTAAATTTATTCCAAGCTTTCAGAGCATTTTTGTGAAAAGCTAGTCCAAGGATACATTTCTGCAAAATGTTCAGGCTTCTACTTTTGACACCAAACTTCACACTTGCTCATTTTGGTCCCATTTATTTCAATAACTCAGTTCAATATAATCAAGGATCAGATTCTAGAGGAACCCTGGCTTATGAAGCATACATAGCATGCTGGTGAAAACTCTTCATTTGTTTGCCATAAAAAGTTATGAATCTTTGCTCTGAAGTTTATTTATTGTGTGACATGCAAAAACAGCAAGGAACCAGCCTTCTGTCTTGTTTCCCTCCCAATGAGCCAAATAATGAACTCTAAGACAAAGCACTGGTTTTCACAGTCATAGAATCATAAAGTTGGAAGATACCTCATGGGCCATACAGGTCAACCCTCTGCCAAGAAGCAGAAAAATCACATTCAAAGCACCCCCAACAGATGGCCATCTAGCCTCTGCTTAAAAGCCTCCAAAGAAGGAGCCTCCACTACATTCCAAGGCAAAAAGTTCCACTACTGAACAGCTCTCACAGTTAGGAAGTTCTTCCTCATGTTCAGGTGGAATCTCCTTTCCTGTAGTTTGAAGCCATTATTCCACATCCTAGTCTCCAAGGCAGCAGAAAACAAGCTTGCTCCCTCCTTCCTGTGACTTCCTCTCACATATTTATACATAGCCATCATGTTTCCTCTCAGCCTTCTCTTCTTCAGGCTAAACATGCCCAGCTCTTTAAGTCACTCCTCATAGGGCTTGTTCTCCAGAATCTTGATCATTTGAGTCGCCCTCCTCTGGACACATTCCAGCTTGTCAACATCTCCCCTCAATGGTGGTGCCCAGAATTGGACACAGTATTCCAGGTGTGGTCTAACCAAGGCAGAATAGAGGAATGGCATGATTTCCCTGGATCTAGACACTATACTATTTATGCAGGCCAAAATCCCATTGGCTTAATTGAATCAGTAAATCAACATTTTATTTTTTCATATCTCTACATTCTTCCACAGTGCTCCTCTGAATGCCTCAAAGTTTCCCACTAAATTCACTTCCCTATCAATATTTACATCTTTGCAAAACAGTAATCCAAGACATAAAGTTATATTAACAGACTTTTTGTGGAGAAAGGGGGAAGGGGGAATCTGGAAATATATGAAACAGCCAGGAAAGAACTAAGCTACCTCATCTGAAATGAAATTATCTTATTCTCTTGAGCAATTTCATTCCCTGTTTATCAGTGTTAAAACATTTACAATGAGGATGTACTGGCGCCTTCCAGGGTAATGCTGATGTGGACAGAATAGGAAATACAAAGTGGCTCACGTTTCCTGCACCCCTACATTTCTATATTGCCCGAAATAGAATAGTGTGCCTTTGGTTACAATATGCACATACACACAAACAAGTATGTCCTGGATTGGAGTGTGAATGAAGTCAGGCATGCTAAAATTCTATTTTAAGCAATATGAGATGTGAATCTCTTCAATAACAGTATCACATCTTTTAAAAAAAGCATTCTGACTGATAAAAGGAATATTTTATCATTATCTGAGGCTACAGGCACAAGGTTTTTTTTTAAAGTCTGGTTTTATTTGGTTTTATTTGGTGCTCTTTTGCACTGCCCAGGTGTACAGTCAATAACAATATGAATAAATGACCTTCTAAACAGGCTTGGGCAAACTTTGTCCCTCCAGGTGTTTTGGACTTCAACTCCCACAATTCCTAACAGCCTACCGGCTGTTAGGAATTGTGGGAGTTGAAGTCCAAAACACCTGGAGGGACAAAGTTTGCCCAGGCCTGTTCTAGCTTAATGTTGTTAGAACCATGACATCTGTAGCATTACCATGATCCTCCATCCTGTCTCAGACAAGTAAAGAGAGACTTCCATATGTTTTGTACTGTAACTTTCATAATTTCTGACCGCTTGAAGGACTAATCAATGTCCAAAATATCTGGAGTGCTCCACCCAATTCTAAGTCATATTTGCTTTAGCCAATGGCAAGTACCTACCAGCATTTGGAGTGCTGAGGGAGGGAATGGTTCAAGCCGCCTGCTGCAGCCAGCTCCTTTGACTTGCTGAGAAGGAACTCCTGAAGTTTCAGCTTCACTTCAGTGCTGGCAATGGCACCTGGGAAAATACAGAAAAACCCTGGTGGAAAAAACACGAAGGCTCTACTGTCCTGATCCAAATATACCACATCTGTATTTTCCAATTAAACTGAGTCTTAAGCTGTGGTTTAATCTCTGACTAGGGTTGGACCCAGTAGCGCAGTAGGTCAAACCCCTGTGCTGGCAGGACTAAAGACCGACAGGTTGCAGGTTTGAATCCGGGGAGAGCATGGATGAGCTCCCTCTATTAGCTCCATCTCCTCATGTGGGGACATGAGAGAAGCCTCCCACAAGGATGTTTTTTTTGTCATGTCAGGAGTGACTTGAGAAACTGCAAGTTGCTTCTGGTATGAGAGAATTGACTGTCTGCAAGGACATTGCCCAGGGGACGCCCAGATGTTTTGATATTTTATCATCCTTGTGGGAGGCTTCTCTCATATCCCCGCATATAATAATAATAATAATAATAATAATAATAATAATAATAATAATATAAAACTTTATTTATACCCCGCCACCATCTCCCCAAGGGACTTGGAGTGGCTTACATGAGGCCAAGCCCAACAACATATCAAAAACAATAAGCAATAATAAAATAACAAACAATAAATAAAATAAACAATACAATTAATATAACTCACAAGTAGACAATAACACACAAGAATTTAAAAACCATGAGGAGCTGGAGCTGAAAAAGAGAGCTCATACACACTCTCCCTGGATTCGAACCTGCGACCTGTCAGTCTTCAGTCCTGCTGGCATATGGGTTTAACCCACTGCGCCACCGGGAGCTCAAAGGATGGTAAAAACATCAAAAACATCCTGGCGTCCCCTGGGCAACGTCCTTGCAGACGGCCAATTCTCTCACACCAGAAATGACTTACAGTTTCTCAAGTCACTCCTAACACGACAAAAAAAAAAATCTCTGACTAACAAGCCATCCTGGTTTATCATCCTAATCTGTAATCAAAGGTTAAACCACAGTTTCCCAGTTTGGATATAATGGGACATTATATTATAGCAAACTGGAAATGTCACATTACCATACAACAGAGAAGGGAGGAAGAAGCCTAAGAACATATTCATTGTTCTTGAGCCAATAAACCACACTAAGCTTATTGGGCCATGACTATTCTATCTGAGCCAGGCCAAAGACTGAACCAACACAGGAAAGAATTGTCTTCTGTTGGGAAAAGGCTTTCTCAACCCCAAAGGAATCCCACATACATATACTGGCCTCCTCTTTCCTGCCAGAGGGCACAGCATCTGACCTTGTCACTATGAGACTGCCCATCACACCATTTCCTAGCATGAAGTTTTTAGGGGTTTTTTTCCATGTCAGGAGCAACTTGAGAAACTGCAAGTTGTTTCTGGAGTGAGAAAATTGGCTGTCTGCAAGGACGTTGCCCAGAGGATGCCCAGGTGTTTGTTTGTTTGTTTTTTGATGTTATACCATCTTTGTGGGAGTCTTCTCTAATGTCCTCGCATGGGGAGCTAGAGCTGACAGAGGGAGCTCATCCACACACTATCCGGATTTGAACTTCCAACCTGTTGGTGTTCAGTTCTGTCGGCACAAGCGTTTAACCCATTGCACCACCGGGGACTTGTAGTCATCTATAGATTGCATGATGGGCAATCCAGCCCCTCATCCCACATTCCAAGCTAGTCTACTATTTCTAATCTGCTTGAACTCAATTAAGCATGTGATTGGAAAAACAACACTCCCCCCATTCTTCAAGACAGCTTTTGAAGTTGTTGTATCGAAGTGTTCCTCACCACTATCTTAATTTTATTTTCCTCCTTATCTGTTTTTTTAATTGGTGTAGAAGTTATGACACCATCTGAAGTCAGACATACTTCTTATGAACCACTTGCATTCAAATTATTAATATGGTATTTCAGATAAAGCAAAATCTTTAAAACACATTTATCAACAGGCAAACTTATAGCATAAATGTTAACTTCAAACAAGTTTTTTTCAATATTTCCTAAATGAAGCTTGAGCACTGCAAATATTTAAAGATATCAGTGGAAAGATTCTTAGTGATATAGTTCAGAAACAGGTGATGACAGAAATGTGGCATTTTGGGAGCTAAAGATAGAAAGCCAATGGCCATTTCAAAATGGTTTACCTATGCTGGTGAGGGTTACTTCAACAGCACAATGTAACATCATCATCAACTGCTGCTGCTTCTTTAGGTCTTAATTTTGAGATGGGAGAGTGTCACATTCCAGCCTACTCCAGCTCCCTCCCCAGGAAAAGGATATTAAAAATCTAACTACAACGGAAGGAAAATGTATTACTCTCTTTGCTTTTCTCCTTGTTGCGCAAGATAAGTAGCTGCTGCTCCAAACGCTGCTTCTCCAGCTCTTCTTGCCGCTGTTGTTCTCGCTTGCGTTGCTGCTCCAATTCTTGTTGTCGCTTTGCTGCCAGCATCTCTTGCTGTTGCTGCAGAGGGGAAAGGGGGGGGGGGTGAGCTGACACCACTGCAAGGGAAAGTGTCTCTGTAGATATCCAAAACCAAACACATTCCGACAGATTAAGATGTGCAGGGTTGTTGTTTTTTTCCTGAAATTTGAAACGGTAGGTTAGGGCTTTTTCCTACTCCTCAGCAGCATCTTCCCTGCCTCTTCAATTGCCTGACAGACAAAATACCAAAAGATTTCTTCCCTCGGTTGTTTTTTTAAAAGTCTGGTTGACTTTTCTACAAAACAGGTCCTAGACGTCCCGCTCAACCTCACTTAAGTGCTCAACAGTTGCTTTATTTTATTTATAGTATTTATATTCCACCCTTCTCACCCCGCAGGGGACTCAGGGCGGGTTACAATGTACATATACATGGCAAACATTCAATGCCATAGACACATAACATATATAGACAGACACAGAGGCAATTTAACATTCCAGCTTTTCTTGAGGGTATTCTGGCCACCAGGGGAGCTGTCCCTTCACCGACCATTTGTGACACTAATGAGGTACTTCCTCATTCTTTGCATGCATGATGGAGATTTTTATGGCCTCGAAAATTAGTTAAATTTTCCTTCCCACATAAGCGGTACCTAAATTTCCTACTTGACAGATGCAACTGTCTTTTGGGCTGCAAAGGTCGACAGCAAGCTACACGAAATTGGTCAGAAGCTCACTCCGACCTGGGCTGGCTTCAAACTCATGACCTTTCGGTCAGTAGTGATCTTAATGCAGCTGACTCCCAGCCAGCTGCGCCACAGTCCCGGTACTTTAGGTAATAGTTTGGTGTTTTTTTTTAACGCTGCAAAAAAACACAAATAGGACTGGATTTTCAGTACATCCTTTTATGTACTGAAAGGGGAACTGTTAGGCAGTGGCAAAGCACGTGTTTTGCATGCATAGGCTAAAATATTGTCAGTAATGTCAGTTAGCACAAGTTGGAGAGATTCAATATCTTCTTGCATGACCTATCCACTGATAACAATTTGTAAGTACCAAAATTGGTCCACACAGGCATTTAGTGGTCAGCATGGGGTGCCTTGCTGTTAAAAGCTATTTTCTTCCCATACTTGTTGGAGATCTGAGAAAGCAATGTCTATTTTCTTCTCCTAGCTGCATAACTGTCACTAGTTAGACCTGCATACCACCTCCTAACCCTCCGCCAACCACTAAATATTCACAGGGTGTGCTTTGCTACTAGGAAACTGAATTCTATGAGGGGTGGAGGGGGTAGCTGCACAGAACTGAACTGGTGGAGTGCAAGCACACTGGAAGATCAAGCCTGTATAATCCCAAATCCCATCCCAAACCTCTCCAGTTAAAAGGATCTCAGGACTGGGAGCTTGGAGAGCTGCAGCATCACAACTGAATGTACTACGTGAGATGTATGAACTGTATGACTTTGGAGAAGGCAGCTTCACAAATTCACCTCCAAATTACCTTGAGGTGCTTCTGCAACTGGACTTCATGCTGCCGCGTTAGGTGTTCGTGCTGCTTCTGAAACTCAGCAAAGAGCAGCTGCTTCTGCAATTGCTGCTGCTGTTTCAGGGCCAATAGTTCCTGCTGCAGCTGCTGTTCCCGGGCGGTTGGGTCTATGGTAGGCACACTGGGCCGGGCATCCATCCGCAAGTCCACCGGGCTGCTACTGCTGCTGCTGTTGCAAGAGCTCTGCATCACCACAGGAAGTACTGGCTTCAAGTCCACAGCTGGAAGGGAAAGAAGAGGAACTGTGATTGCAATGGTACAATCTCTGCAATGAGGTGGGAGACGGAGTTCATGATGGTGGTAGTGATAGGGTTTCTAAGGACAAGTTCAGCAGAAATTAGTAACACTCCTGTTTGCATGGTAGATTTTTGGGGATACATTCCAATGGCACTACCATTTTTATGTGCAACACTGCCAAAAGAAAATGTCAATTGTGAACCCTCCCATGCCAATGATCAATCTCGGCTATCATGGAAAATTCATAAATATTATTCATGTTTTTGTCTGATTCTGCTGTCAACAAGAAAACAACAAGTGCAACAATCTTTGCTGCATGGAGTTCTCATTGAGTCTGCCTAATCCTCTGAAAGAATTGGTCTATCTAGCCCAGTATAGACTAGTAATGCCTTGCCGCAATCACACGAAGCTATTTTGCCTGCCTAACTTCCAGAGAGGCTGGTGTTCTGTTTTGGTTTTTCCTGAGGTTTTCAGGATAGAAAACATGTGCTTTATAATAAATCTATGACCTTTCCTTTTGAATAAAAGAATGCAAGGTCTCTTCTTTTTAAACCAGATGCAGGCAGACATTAGGCTTCTACACTGTACTGAGTGTAATTCTTACTACAATGCTAAGATCCATCAACTGTAGCCAGGTAAAATTATTGCCTAGACGATACACAATCTTGACTCAGGAGGCTGACACAATGACTGCTGCCCCTTATGACTGTACCTGTCATGGGGTGTAACTACACTGTAGGATGAATGCAGTCTAATAATACTTTAACTATCGTCACTCAATGCTGTGCATTCATGGGAGTTATTTGGTGAGGCACCAGAACTATTTGGCAGAGAAGGCTAAAGGCCTTGTAAAACTATAGCTTTGAGCGGTGTCAAACTGCATTCATTCGACAGTGAAGATGTACCTGTGGTTATTTCTTGGCAAGACATATTCAAATGGGGTTATGTTTATCTTCTTCTAAGGATAAAAGGATATGACTTGCTCAGGATCACTGAGTGGGTTTCCAAGGCCGAATAGAGAGTCATATTTTACAAAGTTCACACATCTTTGAGCTTTAAATATTTGAGCTTTTCACACATCTCGGATCTTTGGTGTTCTGGAGAAATGATATGTGCCATAGCTGTCACAAACATATCTCCATTTTTTTTTATTTTTCAGCCCTCAGAAACTAACATGCAACAAAATGACATCCTAACACATTCTTAAATGTTCTTCGGTATGAACAATACCCTGCATGTTGAAAATTAGGCAAACAAGAGCTGGCTAACTAGTTCAGCTTGATATGCTAGTCACCATGTATATTTGCTTTTCATTGCAGAGTTGTTTTTCAGTGTAGAAGAACATTGCAAAATTTCATCTCCCACTGTATGCTGAAATGGTACAAGCCACTATTGCATCACCTGATACACATGTAGACCAGACCACAATGAGCTTTAAGTGAAGCATACCAAACACATAAGTATTCACTTCTGATCCCTGAATCCCACAGTCAATGTAGTGACTTCAGGGAAATGTACTTCAAAAAATGAATCTTTCTAAGCTGAGGGTGGGAGTTGAGACAAGTTAACAACAAAGACAACGTTCAATTTATAGTTTCACCCAGTATTTCCTTTAGAACATTTCAATGTTCTAATAATAGAATTAGAATTACTTCAGTCTTTAATCATCCGACCAATGAATTGCCACAATAGAGCTCAGTTTTGGTATGCATCTGCACTAGCACAACCCATTCGACTTTGTGCTAGAAATGCTAAGCCTACTTGCACAGCATCACATATACTTTATGGTCTCTACTACTTTAGAGGGTCTCCAGATGAATGGAGGACTATGAGAATCACAAGAGTTGCTGAAACGCAGCTTTTAAAAGATAGCATGTGCTCAGACACTAACCAACTCCATAACACACTATGGCAAGAAAAGTAAACATCATATAAAAGTGTACAATGTGATGTGTGAAATGAGCCCCTCAGCATTGTGGGCCTATAAGAGACCAACAGTAGTTTGAGAGGCCCCAGAGTCTATAAAAAGGAGGATTTGGGGGTTTTGTGCAAAAGCAAAAATAAATATCCTATATCTGTGCATCCGCTTTCAAATCAGGGACCTCTCTGACATACAGGCAACTTTGTTTGAGGCAGGACATGTCTGACCTTAGCCTTGGAATGCATCTGACCATATTATCTATCTTTTCATTTATTTTGGGAATTTCTATGCCGCCTTTCTCCTGGAGGACCCAAGGCGGCTCACAGCAACTTTAAAATATACAATGTGACATAAAAACCATTGATTAAAACAACCCAAATAATTACATCAATGCTCCATAGCACCATCCATCCTATATTTATTTATTTATTTATGACATTTATATGCCGCCCTTCTCACCCCAAAGGGTACTCGGAGCAGCTTACAATACACACACACACACACACAATATATTATATTATTAGCATAGTACAATATCAGTATTAAATATTACTATATTGTACTATACCATTATACTGTAATATTATTATATTACATTATATTATAGACAACTAAAATTAAATTGAATTTAATTGAAATCTGTCTAAAATTCCCTTATGACAATAAAGTGTTAGGCTAAAGATTAAGATTCAATTTAAAGCTGTTTCAAACAGGAGGGTCTTCACTCCTTTTCTAAATGACATGAGGGTGGGAGCTGATCTGATATGCAATGCAACCTCCCACCACAGCCAGCTCACAGTCTTTTGAGATTATAAAGAAAGGATTACCAGACAAGTGGTATAAATTTCAGGCCTTTGCATGTCTGGTTTTAGAAAAAAAGCAATATCACCTGATGCATAACTGGGGAGAATGCAACCCCAGAGTATTTTCAAATCTCTCTCATACAGAAATAAGAAGTTTAGAAGTGTCCTGATGGGGCAGACCAAAGACCTATCTGTTCTAGCATTTTGCTAGCACAGTATCTAGAGCAGGAATGGGAAAACTTAGGCCCTCCAGGTGTTTTGGGCTTCAACTCCCACAATTCCTAACAGCTTGTAGCAAAAGCACACTTCTATGTGGATTCTTCAATAGCTGGAACTAAGCTGCATACTGCCTGTCATATAAGAAGGTGCTATATAGCCATCCTGACTAGTAGCAAACCCTTCTGCACTCCCCAAATCATCATCATCATTGCTGCCAACACCACCATTCTTCTCTTCCAGGCACCAGATCTGAGTCATTTGCATCCGTTTTGGCACACTGTGAATGAACAAGGCCTTTGGTGACTCATCAGATGCGTATCCTCTGCTTTCACTCCTTGCAGTCTGTTGTAAAAAAGCATGTGCTGTTTTTATTAAGTCACACATATGTACTTGTGAGTGCATGCATGCACAGCCCCAGCCCACCATCGCCACCCCCAAACTATTTCACCTGGACCCAGAAGTAGAGGAACCCAACAGCTCTGCAGCAATGAGGACAAGCATTGCAGAAGCAGCTGACAAACTATTTCGCTACACAAATCCTCTGCCCTCCACCCACTCCCGGTTCTGTTGTAATTATAAGCATGGGGAGCCGACAAAGACGACAAAGAAATCAGCAACTAAATATAGAGGAAGCCAAACAACAGCTGTTCGCAGAAAGAAGGGGGAGGAAGAAACAGTGGCAGTCAACTGAGAGGTGAGGAAGGCAGAACGGAGCAAGCAGCAGAGAAAAAGAAAACATGGGGATTAATGACTGCTTATTCTCTTATTTTTAAAAATATTTATTTTTCCTAGCTTAGAAGGAGGAGGGGAAGAGCATTGGGAGTTAAAAAAATAAAAAGGAAGACAAATCTCCTTTTAGTTTTGAATGAGAATACCATTCCTAGAGTACATATTTTAATGCTCAATGTACTTTGATAAGAATCTTCCTCAAGGGCAGCTCTTACAATATTAATGTGTTGTTGTGGTGGTGTACCTTCAAGTAAATTCCTACTGTGGTGACTCTAAAGTGAATCTCTCATGAAGTTTTCTTGGCAAGAGTTGTTCTAAGAGTGTTTGTCTTTAGAATTCTTCTGAGGCTGAGAGTGTGTTACTTGTCAAAAGGCGTTTCTATATCTAAGTGGGGATTCGTTGTTCAACATGCAAAACACTACATTGTGCTGGCTGTCTTCATTACCATATTGATTAACATAAGCATCTGTGACATAATACTAAGTGACTCTAAATCACCACTTCTCTCAAGAAAAACCAAAAAAGTTCACCGTATTCTTTAAGAATTTATAATTACATCCATCATGTCCCATGAAACATCATCAACTCAATCACCAGGGTCATTATAAAATAGATTCCTATGCAGACATGAAAGGCTGGTATGGCTTTCAAGACAGGACCAAGTAGAGTAGACCATCAATAATTTATTACAGTTGTAGACAACCACATAAAATAGAAGATATCTTGAAAACTACTTGGGAATAGTGTTGATTTTTTTAAAATGAAAGTAGTGGGGTTCAGACGATGAGCTCTGATGAATGACACTCAACAGTTCATATGGTTCAGTACTCTGATCTCTCTCCATTCTGCAAACAGGAAGAAACACAAAGTTCATGAAAGAACCACTTTCCATTCTTGCCTTTCAATATCCAAAAAGAATTACTCTATATGCCCTATATCAGTGGTTCTCAACCTGTGGGTCCCCAGACGTTTTGGCCTACAACTCCCAGAAATCCCAGCCAGTTTACCAGCTGTTAGGATTTCTGGAAGTTGAAGGCTAAAACATCTGGGGACCTACAGGTTGAGAACCACTGCCCTATATCCTCATGTTGATCTCATGCATATGTCAAGATTTTCAGGTTAAAGTTATAAACTGTGGATAAGTCAAGGGGAATGCAAACATCTCCTTAGAGGGCTAGATGCCCCAGCTGCAATATTCCCAACCCAAGCATTCAAAAAGAGAGCAACAAATCTCTTTTCGGTTCTTTCAGGAAGGACACGTCTCTCACCTTTTGCCACTCTACTCAGGCCCCTTCTACACTGTGATATAAAC